ACCCCGCCTCCCCCCTCCCGCCCCCCCCCCCCGTGCTGCCGCTGTCGCGGACGGAGGAGGAGGAGGAGGAGGAGGAGCAGGAGCAGGAGCAGAAGCAGGATGGTGGAGGAGGAGGAGGCGGAGGAGGAGGAGGAGGAGGAGGAGGAGGAGGAGGAGGAAAGGAGGAGGAGGAGGAGGAGGAGGAGGAGGAGCCCCTGGGCCCCACGCAGTGCTCCTGGCTGGGCCCCCGGGCACGGGCTGCCGCGCCCGGCCCCGAGCCTGCAGGGGGCCCGGACCTGCGGTGCCCTGCTGCCCTCTGCACGGGGCCCCCGGGAGTCCCGGCCCCTTCCCGGGGGATTGCTCAACGGTCCTGGGCTCTCTCCTGGGAGCCCTGGTGTTCGGAGCTTGTGACGTCCCTGTTCGCCCCGGGGAGCCTCTTGGCGTGGAGAGCTCGTCACCCCACCGTGGGCTCTCGGGGGCCTTGGTGCTCAGAGCTGCTCACCCCAGGCCCTGCGAGGGCCCCTGGAGACCGAAAGTGGTCCAAAAGCCTCCCGCGGTGGTTCCTTTGTGGTGAGCTGTGGGGCACAGCTCGAGGGGGCCGCGGAGGGGCTGCGGGGCTCGCAGCAAAGCTGGCGGCGCGCAGAAGGGGGTAGGGGGAGGGGGGAAGGCTTCTTAGAAGCACCTTGCTTCTTAGAAGGCACGGACCTTCTCTGTAGATGTAAGGCCGGCGCCTTCTAAGAAGCAGCATTCCTCTAATTTGCCTTCCCCCCTCCCCCTACCCCCTTCTGCGCGCCGCCAAAACAGGCCACTCTGGCCAAGGGCCACTCTGGCGAAGGGTCACCAAAAGGTCACTCTAGCGAAGGCCACGCTGGCGAAAAGCGTGCGTGCCCAGAAATTCAATGCCTTGACTGTTTTCAAAACGGAATCCCCAGCAGCCCCGACCCTTTTCTCAGGGCCAGCTTGTCACCCCGAGCCGTTTCGACTACCCGGGGGCCCGGCGAGGGCCCCCAGAGACCGAAAATGAAAAGGAAAGTACGTCATGATTTTTGCAAGACTTTAAAGGCGCCCATGGACACACAAATAAGTAGACACAAATCCCAGGATACCCCCGTATTTCCAATGTTTGCTGGGTTTTTGTTTTCCCCCCCACTTCCCATATTTGTCAGAGACTTGGCCCTGCCCCCCCGGGGATCGCCAGTACATGTTTTTATCGTGTCTGGAGCAAGGTACATCTTCCACAGGCTGTTGAAAGATTAGGCGCCCAGGCGCAACTCGGAGACTCCCTGAAGCAACTGCAAGTGAATAGACCATTTTGAAAGCACTACCTGTCGAGGAATGAGAGCGAGCGGAAGCGAGGGGGAGGCAAAGGAAAAGGGAACGGGAGGGGGGGAGACTTGAGCATACACGTCGACGGATGACGTCGATGGGGCGAGCCCTCGAAGGCCTGGCACGTCACTTCAGCTTGTTAAAAGCGGTATGAGACTTGGCCCTGCCCCCCCGGGGATCGCCAGCACATGTTTTTATCGTGTCTGGAGCAAGGCACATATTCCACTGGCTGTTGAAAGATTAGGCGCCCAGGCGCAACTCGGAGACTCCCAGACCCGAATGGAAAAGAAATGGCCCCGGGCCGGAAAAAAATACCCTGCGACGTACCCAACCCACGTGCATCAAATGGCAAGAAGAGTATGCCAACATTAGCAGGAACAACGACAGTGTAGACGCGGCGATTTGCTGTGCAAGCTACATGGGATGCGCATGCGTTGCACGATTCACAAGACGACGATCGAAAGAACGAGGCTTGAGGCCCCAGGATCGAAGAAGAACGGGCACGGGAACGAGGGGTAGGAGAGGGATGGAATGGAGGGCGGGGGGGGCGAAAGGCCATCGCGGAAGCAGCAGCATGCATGGAGAAGGTGAGGCGGGGAATAGGACGACGATGAAAGTGGCGGGAGGAGACAGAAGACTGCCGCGTTTTTCAAGTGCGAGCTAAACCCGCAGCGCTGCCTGCGCCATGTCGTCGCAGAAATCCACATGATAAAACTTGTTTAGAGTGCAGGGAACGAGCGAGGCGTAGCTCGCCCGCTAGCTTCTCCGCCTCCTTCCCGCGCATTTCAGCGCGGGAGCTGAACGCTCGCAGGCGCGCCGCCAGGTCTGCGGGCGGCCCGCGGGAAAGAAACTCAGGCCGGGAGAGAAACCGCTGGACCCACCAGCAGCCCTCGAATGTGGCGACAGTTTCGCAACCAGCAGCCCTCGAATGTGGCGTCAGTGTCGCAGATCGCAGCCCCCCAGGGATGGCGAGGTCTAATCTGAATCTGCGTGGTGCCTCACTCCGCTGGACCCACCCAGCCCTCGAATGTGGCGACAGTTTCGCAGATCGCAGCCCCCCAAGGATGGCGAGGTCTAATCTGAATCTGCGTGGTGCCTCACTCCGCTGGACCCACCAGCAGCCCTCGAATGTGGCGTCAGTGTCGCAGATCGCAGCCCCCCAGGGATGGCGAGGTCTAATCTGAATCTGCGTGGTGCCTCACTCCGCTGGACCCACCAGCAGCCCTCGAAAGTGACGACAATTTCGCAGATCGCAGCCCCCCAGGGACGGCGAGGTCTAATCTGAATCTGCGTGGTGCCTCACTCCGCTGGACCCACCAGCAGCCCTCGAAAGTGACGACAATTTCGCAGATCGCAAACCCCCAGGGATGGCGAGGTCTAATCTGAATCTGCGTGGTGCCTCACTCCGCTGGACCCACCAGCAGCCCTCGAAAGTCGAGGTCTCATCTGAATCTGCGTGGTGCCTCACTCCGCTGGACCCACCAGCAGCCCTCGAAAGTGACGACAGTTTCGCAGATCGCAGCCCCCCAGGGATGGCGAGGTCTAATCTGAATCTGCGTGGTGCCTCACTCCGCTGGACCCACCAGCAGCCCTCGAAAGTGGTGACAGTTTCGCAGATCGCAGCCCCCCAGGGATGGCGAGGTCTAATCTGAATCTGCGTGGTGCCTCACTCCGCTGGACCCACCAGCAGCCCTCGAAAGTGGCGACAGTTTCACAGATCGCAGCCCCAAAGGGATGACGTAAAAGGCAAGAGAGAAGAGGAGGAGCGAAGAGAGGAGGAGAAGGGAAGCAAGAGAGGAGGAGCGAAGAGAGGAGAAGGGATGCAAGAGAGAAGAGGAGGAGCGAAGAGAGGCGGAGAAGGGAAGCAAGAGAGGAGAGGAAGAGGGAAGAGAGGAGGAGGAGGCGGGAAGGAAGGAAGGTGGAGACCGCAGTGCTCTATTCAAAACGAGTACCCAACGCAGGAAGGTTGGGAAAAAAACGCAGACTCCCGAAAGCGATAGGGTAAGATGGGTGGCATTATCTACCCTATCATCCTCACAAATTTCACGGTTTTAATCTATTCCACAACACAGATACCCGCAGCGATTCAGCGGCATCGATCATGGTCGAGGCGATGGCACGGCACAGTTGGCGAGGATAGGCGGCGGCGATGGCAGTCCAATGCTTACCTCCAGGAGCGTGTCCTGAAAGCTCCTGGTGCGGCAGGCCGGTTCGAGAGCACCGCTTGCCGTCAGCATGGCACCATCTTCGCAAACGAAAGAGGCTGCCACCTCGCCAAGCAACTAAACGAGTGCATTTCTTCCAAGGGGTTCCGAATTGGCACTGATGCAGGCGAGCCTCAGAACAATCGACGGCACGTCTCAGTAGCTGCAAACGGGGAGCCTGCCTCATCAACGACCCGTCAGGGTTCTCAAGATACACTGGCACCCCTGCTTTTCGACAACAGTCAATCAACCGACAAGACACATGGAAGGTTGCGCTCCCAACGTTCAATCGTGCTTGTTGAGCGCCCGTGAGAGAGGCGAGACCCATGGGGCAGGACACAGAACGAAGCGGCTGCCTCAACGCCTGCGACCACGTGGTGCACGGCTTTCCGAGCCAGACCCCCAGCACCGCGCCGGAGGAGATCCACCCCTTCAGGAGCCTCTCAACCACTCTCAGCAATGTGGAAAAGACAAGTGTCTGTTGTTCCAACCGCCCTAGCTCTTGCTCGGTATTCTGGTTCCCGTTGGCCTCTACGTTGGCCTCGCTCGTTATGGCTTGTTGCTCGGTCTCCTGGACCTCCGTGTAGTACTGGGTTCTAGCTCTGACTTGCTCCCCGGCCCGTTTGGTCCGAGGTCGCCACTTGGCCTTTTTTCCCATGCACCGGCACGTGGATCACAGAAGATACTGGCAGTTCAACCTGGTTAGGCTACAAACCCGTTTGGGCTTGAGCCAAAGTTGCATCGGAACGGAGAGCAGTGTCAAACACTTTTGTCTAACAGCTCGGCTCCCCTTCACGCTCTACATTATGCGCAAGTGTGCACACGTCTTCTATCCCACTTAGTGGGATAACTGGTTTCTGCAAGATCCTATACACACGCGCCGCGGTGAGCCGCCCGAAGGCGCCACCAGCCCGGCGGAAATCGGTCCGACAAGTCGGCTTGGGCACAGAGACGCAACACTCCCCAGAGCACTCGCAACCGAGGCGCGCCGCGGTGAGCGCCGAATGGCGCCACCAGGCCGGCGGCCACGAGGCAGAAGTGGGACGATCACGGCACCCCGGAACCAGCACACGGCAAGGCCACAGCCTGGGGCCCGCACTGCCGCGGTGAGCCGCCAGAAGGCGCCACCAGACCGGCAAGTGCAAGACCTTTGTGCACAGAAGTGCATCCCGAATTATTGAGACAAGTAATAACTGCCCGAATTTCCGCCCCGAGTCACATACACAGTTTCGACTCCGGGCACACTGAGGCGGACAAATCGTGCCCCCCCCTTGAGGCCTGAGGGCGGCAACAGGGGAGAAAAAACACAACATGTTATCACACCTGCTATACATGCGTACAATCACTCACTCTGACCCTATTCTGATATGTCAGAAACAAGGATGCCGCCACACAGTGTCTCTCCCCTGCCGGCACGAGCGGCGGCGTTCGCAATGGGATCTCATCCACACCCCCCTCGCCGAGCGACTGCTGGCACCGCTGCCGCAGAAGTCAAGCCTGTGGCATCATGTGGATCATCTCCAGCGCTGCTCGGAACTTCGGGCCATTCAGGACCTTGGTGAAGAGGTCGGCCTTCATCTGCAAGGTGGGGCAGTGCTCTATGCTCAGCTGGAGGTCCCGGTCGTTCAGAGATTGTTTTTTTATTCTGGCCGATAACGCTCGTTACCCGGGGGGGGGGGGGGGGGTCGTGCCCCCCGGGTAACGGTAACGCTTGGGCTGGGCGGGGTATGGCGAGGCAGGGGCGCTCTGCGATCGCCATAGTATGCGCGCGAGCAGCACTCTCTGCCTGAGAGCACCACAGTGGCTTGCGATTCGAGTACAAGCGCAAAGCCCGCCGCGTGGTCCCGGCACCACGCCCGCGCCCGCGCGCGCGACGACGATGATCGACGAGCGACGAGCGACGAGGTCGACGACGACGACGACGACGTTTGCCGCCTGTTTCGGCCTCCGGAGGCCGTTTTCGAGCGCCGTCGACGACGACGACGACGACGACGACGACGACGACGACGACGACGACGGACGACGACGACGACGACGACGACGACGACGATGAAAACGACGACGACGACGACGACGACGACGATGACGACGACGACGACGACGTCGGCGACGGCGACGGCGACGACGACGACGACGACGACGACGACGTTTTTCGCCTTTTGCGGCCTCTGGAGGCCGTTTTTCGGGCGCCGTCAACGACGTCGACGACGACGACGTTTTTCTATATTTTTTCGGCCTCCGGAGGCCGTTTTCGGGCGCCGATGTCGACGAGGACGACGACGACGACGACGACGACGACGTTTTCTCGTCTTTTTCGGCATGCGGAGGCGTTTTTTTTCGGGCGCCGTCGACGACGACGACGACGACGACGACGACGACGACGACGACGACCACGACGCACGACGACGCCGACGACGACGACGACGACGAAAGAAAAAACAAGACGAACGGTTTTCCGCTATTTTCGACTCGCAAAAAGGCAAGTTTTTTCGGGCGCACCAACGTCGACGACGACGAACGACGACGACGAACGACGACGACAACGACGACGACGACGACGACGACGACGACGACGACGACGACGACGAAGCCCGCAAGCACCAGCATCGCGCATGCGAACGCCGCAATGGCCTGCGAGCGCCCACAGTGCGCCTGCGACCACCACACCACAGCGCGAAAAGCCACGCACCACGGCGTGCTTGCGAGAACCACAGAGCGCTGCAGTGCAATCTATGCGTTCCTCTTCCAGTTCCCCCTCCTTCTTATATGTTTTTTCTTATTCCTCCTCCTCCTCCTCCTCCTCCTCCTCGTCCTCCTCCTCCTTGTCCCCTCCCTCCTCCTCCTCCTCGTGTTCTCGGGGGCCTGCGGAACGGCGTCGGCCTGCTGAATATGCGCGGCGCATCCTTCAACCGCCTTTGCTTCAGCCAATCGTGGCGGTTGTGGGAATGGCAACGCGGCCACTCCCGTCGGGGGCGAGGTCTTTACATGACCTACTCCTCCGATTTCCCTCCGGCCCCCCTCCTCCTCATCTCCTCCTCCTCCTCCTCCTCCTCCTCCTCCCTTCCCCCCTCTCCCTCCTCCCTCTCCTCCTCCTCCTCCTCCTCCTCCTCCTCCTCCTCCTCCTCCTCCTCCTCCTCCTCCTCCTCCTCCTCACCCCCCTCCTCCGATCCCCCTCAACTCCTCCCCCGATCCTCTTCCAACCGATTCCAACCCTCCTCGCCCTCCTCATCCTTCTCCTCCTCCTCCTCCTCATCCTCCTCCTTTTCCTCCTCGTCGTCCTCCTCCTCCTCCTCCTCGTCCTCCTCCCTCTGCCTCCCTCCGTTCTCCCCCCAGGAGGTGAGAGGAGGTGGAGGAGACGAGAATGGAAGGGAGTGCAGGAGCAAAGGAAAGGAAGTGGAGGGGCCAGGCCGGGGACCCGTTTAGGAAATGGCGCCGAAGAGCTCGAAACTCGAACCTCGAGGATCGAGGCATCCTGGCCCTCGGGGGCCCTCGTCCTCGCCGCGGGCGGACGCGGCTCGGGAAACTGGCGCGTCTGAGACTCAGTCGGATTCCCTGGACCCGTTTTGAAATTCTCGCCGAAGTTCGAAATTCGAACCTCGAGGATCGAAGCCTCCTGGCCCTCGAAGGCCTTCGTCGTCGCCGCGGCTGGACGCGGCTCGGGAAACTGGCGCGTCTGAGCCCCAGTGGGAGTCCCTGGACCCGTTTTGAAGTTCGCGCCGAAGTTCGAACTTCGAACCTCGAGGATCGAAACCTCCTGGCCCTCGAGGGCCCTCGTCGTCGCCGCGGCTTGACGCAGCTCGGAAAACTTGCGCGTCTGAACCCCAGTCAGGGCCCAGCCCGACAACAAGACAACAGATAGCATCAGAGATCCTGTTATACTTATTTGCGCGGGAAGGCCCTGTGCACTGAATGCGCCAGAGGCCGTACAAGCGCCTTGGCACACAAATACACACAAGAATTCCGAACACGTCAGAGGCTGGAGTAATAGTAACAGACACTGAAGCAGGCATGCTTTCTCGGAAGGCACCCTCCTGGGCCCGAATGGGCCCCCCTAGCAGCATTCAACCATGAACGCCCGCGCTGGGGTCGCCGCCGCGTCGATGCAATTCCGCGCCAGCCCCGCTATGTGGGGACCTCCAGGCTGCGAGCAAGTTGGATGACAAACTGTCTTTCCCCATCCTCCTCCTCCTCCTCCTCCTCCTCCTCCTCCTCCTCCTCCTCCTCCTCCTCCTCCTCCTCCTCCTCCTCCTCCTCCTTATCCCCGCCATCGCGGTCTGTGATCACCGCGCCACGCCTGCGGTCAAGGCGCCATGCGTGTGAGCACCGGCGACCGCGGCGGCACACATGTGAGCGGGCGCTAGAGAACCACCAGCGTGCCTGCGAACGCCACAACGCGCGCGTATACAACAGCATGCCAAACCGTGTCGGCACCGAAAACGTTCGCGAGCAGCGCAACTCGTCCTCGAACACCCCGCACAAGCCTGCGTGTGCCATGGTAGCACACGAGAACCGCAGTGTACCTGTGAGCAGCACAGCATGCCTTCGGGCACCAGCATGTTAGGGGGGAAGGCCATAGAGCAGGACGACGACGACGACGACGACGACGACGACGACGACGACGACGACGACGTTTGCCGCCTATTTCGCCCTCCGGAGGCCGTTTTCGGGCGCCGTCGACGACGACGATGGCGACGACGACGACGACGACGACGACAACGTTTTTCGCCTTTTTCGGACTCCGGAGGCCGTTTTTCGGGCGCCGTCGACGACGACGACGACGACGACGACGACGACGACGACGACGACGACGACGACGACGGCAACGAGGACGACGACGACGACGACGACGACGGCAAAACGGGACACGACGACTACGACGACGACGACGACGACGTTGTTTTTTGTGCCTTTGGTCCGACTCCGGAGCCGTTTTTTTTTTTTTTTTCGGGCGCCGTCCGAGGACGAACACGACGATTCGAGGCGGCCGCACAAGCCCGCAAGGCACCAGCAGAATCGCGCCATGCGTAGCGCCGCAATGGCCTGCGAGCGCCCACAGTGCGCCTGCGAACCACCCCCCCACAGTGCGCATGCTCGGGCACCAGCATGTTGGAGGGGAAGACCGCAGAACCCCCCCGCGCGCCACGGAGCGGCACGCGTTACGGGGGGTGGGGGGGGGGGGGGGGGGGCCGGGTAAACGAGCGTTACACCCCCCCAGTAGGCATAAAACAACAAGCTCTCAACATCCTCGGCAGCTATGCCGACGCAGACGGCTGCGTGCGCGGCAAAAAAATAACAATGAGTAAAAATAAGACAACAAAAAAATACAAGAAAAAGAAATATAGAAGGGTGCGCAGCCGCTTCGAATATCCTTTGGTCACGGCTTGGATCGTCTGCATGTTGTCGACCCTGCACGCTATCCCAATCCTGCGTGGGAGGACCTCGTCCAGGAGCATCTGGATCGGTATGGCCTCGCGCCGCACGACATGGGAGAATGCGACTGTCTCAGTCTCCGCGGTGGATCCTCCAGTAGACGACTGCTGCGAACATCCCCAAGACAATGGGAAGCTACGGCCAGAGGCCGGCGAGAACAGCTCAATCCACCATCCGGTCACGGACTTGCTGGTCATCGGGTCGCCGTTCCAATCGGCGTCAGAGTACGTCAGCAGCAACAGATCGTCCACGTCGGCCGGGGCAAGCGTGCCCTTGAGGACGTGCGTGGAGGTGCAAGCAGCATACGTCATGACACGGATGAGCGCTAGGTCGTGGACAGTGGTCCAGCGCGACACTCCGCTACACAGACGCTGCGTGGCTGCAGCCAGGTCGGGCCGCCCAACACGGCACAAGAAGAGAGACGAGGCAGAGTGCGACGCCGCGACGTCTGCAAACCTCCCTGCCTCCTCGGAGTCCTGCGCCCAGGACTCGGCTGAGATGTACGGCGTGTCCACGGGCCTGGTGATCCTGAGGCCGGCGTCGGTGCAGAAGCGCTCTACCATTGCCCTGGTGTAATCGATCATCGACGTCGTGACTGTGCGAGGCGCATCGGGGAGCTTCGGATCGAAAGGGTCGAGGGCGTAGTACGCACCAATGAACTTGTTCACCGGCGCAAGCTCGTCCTTGAACTCGATGCTCTTGCACAGCGCCTCCCAGTGGGCGTCGGCCTTGCACCCCAGAGCCGCCAGGAGCAGGTCGTCGACGTAGACGGTCAGCATGCTCCCGTCGGCATGGACGAACACGCCCGGCCAAGAGGGCACCGAATGCCATCCGAGTCCGAGCAATACCTGGGTGAGCTTCTTCTCCCACAGGGCTCCTGCCTCCGGGTGCCCGTACAAGGCTAGGAGGAGCAGGCACACGGGCCGAACGTATAGTGGCTTGCTCCTGTCACCCCCCTCGAACCACGAGTCGGGCCACCACTCCCTGGGTATCTCAACCCACGTCTCGATCCTGCCGTCCACGTTGATGCGAGCCTGGAGGTAGGCTTGCAGCGCGTCCCGCACCGTGATGCTGAGGCGCTTCAGGATAGCCACCGCCATGGTGCACCGAATGGCGACGAAAGACGCCGGGCTGTTGCTCATCTCCTCGTACAAGTTCACCGCCGCCGTCCCCGTTTTAGTTCTGATGTTTGATCCCTGGAACACTGCACGAAATTTCATCCCCCTATCCTCCTCATGCTCCGCTTCGGCGTTGGTCTCGCCCAAGATCCCGAAGATGCGGCCCGTCATGACCTCGGCCTTCGAGTTGTCGCGCATGAGGTCCTTGTATTCCCTCACCGTGGACTCATCCCAGGTTTTCCGGGTACGGTGCCCAGAGAGCTCCTTGTCTATGGCAGCCCGTGCCTTGGCCGACTTTGCTTCCTCCGACTTCAGCGGGACCTTCCGGGTGACCAGCACGGACCACTTAGGCGTCTTCCTGCCGACGTCGTTCTGCGCGGTGTCGTCGTGGTCGGCGTGGCCCCCGGCGATGGGCAAGATGGACTGCCAGATCAGACGTGCGAGCTCCTGGGAGCATGGCCCTCGGAGGTCCACACTTTCGTCGCGACAGCCGTCGATCGACTCCAGCGGCATCTCCGGCACCTGGGCGTGCGGCTCGAGCAACTTAAGGAGCCCCGCGCTGTTCGTGAACACACGCAGGAGGTCGTTCGTGCGGCGCTTGATGGGGTCTTCGCTCTGGCCCTCCACGGCAGACTCGCTGAGGCTAGCCATCGAGACGTCACGAGGATCAGATCCAGCGTACTCTAGCAGCTGCCGCACGTCGGTGCGCAACCACACGGAGGACGTCGGCGGCCACCCCCAGTAGATGTAGCCCCCCTGCTTGACGACGTGGCGGCAAAGGCCAACTGCGACCACAACAGGGCGGTCTGGGAGTTCGCCTGGCGTGCGCACCGTGCTGACCCAGACGTGCAGCGGAATGCCAAGCTGGCTGCAAGCCCGGACGATGCCGTGCAGCGCCCTGATGGTCTCCTTCCTGCACAGCTCGTCGCCCTCCGTGACTCTGACGGTCAGGGCGTGCTGCGGCATGAGCTCCGCGATATTCGAATCCTCCTCCGTAGATATATCCACCACAACAACCTTGAACTGCCCGCTCTGTATTTTCGTGCGAGCGGTCCGCAAGATGGCTCAGACGCGTGGCCACCGCGCCGGCCGTCGCAGCAGCAGGAACATCTTGAACTTGCGCGGCCTCGTTCTCGGGCGTCGCGCTCGGCCGATCCCTGCCCACGTACATGAGCTGGGCCACAGCCGGTACTTCAGGAGCCGGGGGTCCACGAGCGTCCTCGCGTGCAGCGTCCACGGCACTTGCCGGGAGGCTCCCCCTGGTCCGCTTGGCATGTTCATATGCCGCCTTCCGAGCTTCTTGAGCGGCGAAGCCCACGGGATCCTTCTCCTTCCACTCCTGGCGCAACTTCTCCTGGTGAGATTTCTTGAACATGAGCCATGCCTCGGGGAGGACCGTGGGCGGCCTCCGGCTCCAGGGCGGAACCGAAATCGTCCTCGTATGGTGCCCGTGCGGGAAGGTGTCAATCCTCCAGCCCTTGGGCGCACGATTCCCCTCAACCTCCAACTCCGCACGGCCGAGCTCGGCAGGCTCGTCCTTAGGCTCGTGTTCGGTGGCGGCCTGCTCGCCGCCGTTCCTCTCGACCACCTCCTCCTCTGGCTCCGGGTCGTCCGCCGCCTGCGAGTCCTCGGGGTCCAGCACGACGGACTCGACGAAGTTGCCGGGTTCCAGCTTCGGGGCGTTCTCCTCCATGGCCCCGTCGTAGGCCTCGTCGCCCGGCTCCTCGCTCACCTCGGACAGCTGCAACGCCCACGACTCGTTGTCGTCAGTCACTGCTGGCGCTGGGAAGCTCGCATCCTTGGATGCTCCGGCGAGCTTGAGGCGCTGGCGGATGGGGAATATGATGCGGTCTGGGAAGTCGACCTCCGCGGAGTACCTGATGCCTGCTCGGGACGGCCGGTCGCTGTTGAGGAGGTGCTCTAGCTTGACGACGCCGTACGTCCGGTTCCACGCGAAGCCTGGCCCGCAGCCGATGCCGACCAGCACATGCGGCACCATCCTGGGGCTCCATTTCGAAGGTTTGGCCCCGGCGCGCCGGGCAGCAGCGACGAATACTAGCGCTCCGAACGGGTACTGCTCGTACTCGGCGGACGTCGTGTAGCGGCGCTCGTACGGAGTGAACCCGTCCGCCCCCCTGCAGTGGCCGTTATACTGCATGCACCAATAACAGATCGCGCACACCCACCACGACGCCGGAAAGGCGGCCATGAGGAGCAAAGCCCGGGCCCCCTCGACCACAGTGCGGTTGAATCGCTCGATGACTCCGTTGCTCTGCGGCGCACGTGGGATGCTCCGATAGTGCGCGAACGGCCGCATCCTGCGGATCCTGCGGCTCGCAGCCGCAAGTTCGGGGGCATTGTCGCTCCACCAGCGGCGGATCTCAGGCACAGCGTTGTCGAAGGTGTGGTGGGCCTCGACGATGGTGTCGGCGTCCCTGGAGCTCGCCGGAAAGACTCCGGCGAACTTCGTACGCTCGTCGAGCATGTTCAAGCTGTACTTCGCCGATCGGGCGGCCTCCGAGCCCGGCTGCATGACGATGTGGTCCAAGTGCACGCACGCGCCGAACGGCCTCTCGTCCGCGTCGGCGCAGCGAACGCACACGCCGCTGACCGGGCGTCGCCGCGAAGGCCACTTGGCGTGCTTGCCTCCCCGGCACCCGGGACAGTACTTCGGCATGGCCGGCTGGTGCAACGTGAGATGCTCCTTCGTGAGGCGCGACGTGTCGCAGGGCAGCACGATGTCGTCGACGGAGTCCTCAAGCTGGATCCGGTGGAAAATTTTGTCGTCCTGCATCAGGTCGCCGTCGTAGCTCGTGATGCCTCCCTCCAGCACCCGGGCAACGTGCCTAGCAGCGTCGTCTTGCCCAGGTTCCACGGTCTCGTCAACAATGCCGATCTGCGAGATCTCCTCCCCGCCCTCCTGCTCCACGTCCTTCTCGTCCTCCTCGTGCTCGTCCTCCTCCTGATCCACGTCGTCGTCTTGGGGCGGATCCGCCTCCAGAGGCAGGACGTCGTCGATCAGCGCGTCGTCGTCGACCACAGCGACGTTGACCAGCAGCCGCTTGCCTGCAGATGGGTCCCTGCGGGGCTTGGGCTGCGACTCGACGTACGGCACGAAATCGGGGTCGACCTTCACGTCGACGCGCCGGCCATCAGGCCGGAAAACGTCCGGAGCAGGAGCGAAAGGCTTCCAGGTGAACTCGAAGCCCAACTGGGCACAGCGGCGCCCAACTGTCAGCACTCGGACCGTCTCGTCCGCATCCTCCAGCACGGTTGCCTCCACGTCCTCGCCGATCTCGCTGAGGTGCGTGACGACGGCGCGATCGCAGTGGACGTTGCCTCCGCCGGTCTCGACCGCGACCTGGTCGTGGAGATCCTTGTGAGCCCCCTGGAGGCCCTTCCCCGAGGCGTCGAAGCTGGCCGCGGTGTCCAACACCCACTTATCGGAGGTCCCCCACAGGCTCTCCGACGAGCAGAGGTGCAGCTTCTTGCCGCCGCCCTTGCCCTTCTGCTTGGCGTCAGCCTCGCGCTTCGCCTTCAAGACCGCCGCGAGGTCCCGCTTGTCGCCGTCGCCATGCTTGTAGATGCACTTGTCCCCGTGGGAACACTTGCCGTCGGCAAAAAACTTGCACCTGTCGCCGGGCTGCCGCCCGAGGGTGACCGCGGTCCCTGCTGGCCAGGCCGCGGTAGGCGTGTGAACGCTGTCCTTCCAGTGGACGTGCTTGCAATTGTCGCCGAACTTGCAACTCCCGGACCTCCAAAATCCGCAGGCGACCTGTGGGTGCTCAGGTACAAGCTTGGCTGGCTCCCTGGCCGCGGCCTTGGCCTTCCCCTTCGGGGTCGCCTGCCTGACCTGCTTCACCTGCTTCGGCGTCGGGGTCAGGGCGTCGACGGTTTTGTTCTGCGTAGTTCTCGCGCACGCCCTCCTGGCCGAATCATACAAGAACTCCAGCGTCTTCTCCGGGGCGTCGTCGAGGGCGCGGTCGAACTGAGCAAACTCGAAAGCGAGGTCTGGAACCTTCCGGAGCTCAGGCTCGACGATCGCGAGTAGCAGCGCCTCGTCCGGCTCGACTGTCATTAGGGCGAGCCTGGCGTCCAGGGCGTCCAAATACACCTCGAGATCCCCATTGTACTTCAAGGCGTTGAGCGCCGTGAGGTGGACGCGGTGCGCCTTGCCGTGGTCGAGCTCAAAGCGCCGGAGGATCATGTAGAGGACCGCCCTGCCGGACGTGGGCGTGCCGAGGCGCGCGTTCTTCTCCTGGTAGAGCGTCAGCTGGCGGTCTATGGCGCCGGAAGCGCTGGACTTCAGCGCAGAGCAGAGCTCCGTGTCGAAGAGGTCCCATTTCTTGGGGATGTACTCGACGTCCTCGACGCGGCCGGCCTCGAACGCGCTCTTCACGTACTTCATCGTCCTGACCTTTGAGCGATTCGAAACACGGCAACACTCTGTCATCAAAGCGTTGGTCCACTTCCGGAGACCAGCTGCACTCGCGAGGGGGTCGATCTTCATCTCCTTCACCGTCGTGCGGCGGCGCATGAAGGCCTCGTCCTCGTCCTCGCTGTCGCTGCTGGCAATGCAGTGCTGCGCTGGCGGGCTCGCCCCGATGCCTGAACTTGGCACGGTGCCCTGCGACGCTGCTGACGGCATCGCCGGTGCGGCGGCCAGCGGAGCTGTTGCCGTAGGGTCTACGCGACTACGATTCGCCGCGTCCCCGATACGGAATCCCGAAGACGTCAACGGGTTGACGACTCTCTTGGCGAGCGGGGGCAGCATGGTGATCGGCGCACGCGGCGGTGGCGCCGGCGTCATCCCGACGTGCTGCGCGGATCTCTGAGCCACAGCCAGCTCCCGCCTGACCTCGGCCACCTTCCGCATCTCACTTTCCGCCAGTGCCTCTGTCCTCGCTGCCCTGGCGGTCGCCTCCGCGCAGCGCTGGAAGGCGTCGCTGATCTCGTTCCCCAACTTCTGGATGTACTCATTGGCCTCCGTGCTGAACACCTCAGAGTACCTGTTGCTCTCCTGAAGCTGCTCGTGGACATGCTCTCGCAGCATGTCGATCCGCTCCTCGAAGACAGACTGCTCGTCGAGGAACAGCTTCTCCCGCGCCTCCACAGCGATCTGCTGGCGGGCCGTGGCGACGGCCTGCACGCGGGCGGCCTCAGCCGCGCGGGTGTGGGCGCGCAGCTCCAGCACGTCATTGCGCCCTTCGAGGTGGACGCACTCGTTTCGCAAGCCCTCTTCGGTCAAGCGCACGCGGCGCTCGGCGTTCGCCTCGAGCTCGCGGAACCTCGCGGCGACCTGCCGCTCGACCCCTTCCTCGGTCAAGAGGAACTGCTGCTGTTGTACGCCGAGTTCACCGTGAAGCTCTGCTCGGCAGCGGTCGCGGCATTCTTCCGCAATGCCCTCGACCACCTGCCTCCATCGAACATCCTGGTTCTGGGCCGCCTCGTGCTCTACGATCTCGACGCGCTGGCGGAGCTCCGCGAAGAGCTGCTGGTCCCTTAGCCGTTCGCGCTCTTGCGCCTCGGCCCGGATCGCCTGCATCTCGTGTCTCGCGCTGTGCTCCGCCGCCTGAATTGCCTCGTCCCTCACGCTGCTCTCGACAACCGCCTCGGCTGCGTAACGCTCTCGCAGTCGTCGTGCAACTGTCTCCTCTGCCTCCCAACGACTGCGTCTTGCTTCCACTTCGAACTCCTCCATCCTCTCGTGGATCCTCTCCTCGTCGACGTTCTCGATGATCCTGCTCAGCTCCCGGGCGAAGTCGGCGCTCAAGTCGGCCGCCTCGTCCGCGATCGGGATGTGGGGGGACCGGCTACGGTCCGCTGCTCCCTGCTGCTCCTGACGGCCCGGACTCGGCGGACCAGCCACCGGGTCCATCCCCGGCGGGCCTGCCAGTGGAATCAACGTTGGTCGATACGCCATTGTGGTTGAAAGCAAGGCTCTTAACTGTGGAAAAGACAAGTGTCTGTTGTTCCAACCGCCCTAGCTCTTGCTCGGTATTCTGGTTCCCGTTGGCCTCTACGTTGGCCTCGCTCGTTATGGCTTGTTGCTCGGTCTCCTGGACCTCCGTGTAGTACTGGGTTCTAGCTCTGACTTGCTCCCCGGCCCGTTTGGTCCGAGGTCGCCACTTGGCCTTTTTTCCCATGCACCGGCACGTGGATCACAGAAGATACTGGCAGTTCAACCTGGTTAGGCTACAAACCCGTTTGGGCTTGAGCCAAAGTTGCATCGGAACGGAGAGCAGTGTCAAACACTTTTGTCTAACAGCTCGGTTCCCCTTCACGCTCTACATTATGCGCAAGTGTGCACACGTCTTCTATCCCACTTAGTGGGATAACTGGTTTTTGCAAGATCCTATACACACGCGCCGCGGTGAGCCGCCCGAAGGCGCCACCAGCCCGGCGGAAATCGGTCCGACAAGTCGGCTTGGGCACAGAGACGCAACACTCCCCAGAGCACTCGCAACCGAGGCGCGCCGCGGTGAGCGCCGAATGGCGCCACCAGGCCGGCGGCCACGAGGCAGAAGTGGGACGATCACGGCACCCCGGAACCAGCACACGGCAAGGCCACAGCCTGGGGCCCGCACTGCCGCGGTGAGCCGCCAGAAGGCGCCACCAGACCGGCAAGTGCAAGACCTTTGTGCACAGAAGTGCATCCCGAATTATTGAGACAAGTAATAACTGCCCGAATTTCCGCCCCGAGTCACATACACAGTTTCGACTCCGGGCACACTGAGGCGGACAAATCGTGCCCCCCCCTTGAGGCCTGAGGGCGGCAACAGGGGGGAAAAAACACAACATGTTATCACACCTGCTATACATGCGTACAATCACTCACTCTGACCCTATTCTGATATGTCAGAAACAAGGATGCCGCCACACAGTGTCTCTCCCCTGCCGGCACGAGCGGCGGCGTTCGCAATGGGATCTCATCCACACAGCAACACGTTCCCGTGCACGCCCATCTGGATGTCCAAAGACACGACGGCATACCCGGCCTGCCGCAGCTGTCGGCCCACGCCTGCTGATCCGGCGAAAAGCTCCAGGAAGACGCAGCGGCGCCGCCGAGTTGCCCCTCGCAGGGCGGCCTGGAACTCTCGCCGCAGCCGGCGAGCCACGCCAGTGGCCGAGCGGCTCAGCGGCGGCGGAGCACACGGCCCGCGCCTGCCTCGGCGGCCGCGGGCCGCTTGCGGGCCGCCCGGCGAGAGCTCCGGAAGCCGGAACTCGGCGGCCCAGCGGTCGCCGCCTCCGCGAGGCGCCTGACCTGCAGCTTCAGGGGGTCCGGCACCCTGTTGATGAGCCCCGACTGCAGGAAGCCCTGCTCCACGAGCTGCTGGAAGTGCTGCTCCACGAGCTCCCCGAAGGCGAAGCTCGCGACTGGAACGAGGCCGATCTCGCGCAGCAGCTTCGACTCCTTGGCGTACCTGGCCATGGGCGAGGCTGCCTTCCAGCGCCCGCGGCGCCTGACCTGCTCGACTGTCCGGCGGCTGGTCAGCAGATCGCCGGAGGCGCCGCCGTGCCTGAGGGGGCACAGGTGCGGCCTCAAGCTCTCCAGGCCCAGCAGCGTCACAGCCTGGGCAAAGACGGCGCGGAGCTCCGCAGGGCTGAACGGCCACAGGGGCTCGTCCGGCTTCGAAGCCAGCTGGAGCGCCTGCAGCAGGGGGTTGAGCCACGTGTCCAAGTCCACCAGCACGGACTCCTCGAAAAGGCCCGTCTTGCCCGGCTGGGCCTCCGCCGCGTCGTGGAGGAGGAGCCCCCACGCCTGATAGGCAGGCCCGGCCGTGGCCGTGGGGCCCACCAGGTGCCGAGCTCTGAGCTTGAAACACTCGCACGGCCTGAGGTAGCGCACGAACGATATCACAATCCACAGCGCCATCCGCGTCCGCCCCAGGGCCAGGGCGACCCCCGCCATCGCGAAAGCTGCCGACCGCGGCAGCGGGCACCACGTGAAGCTGGGCACCCTCCGCTTCCAGGCAATGGCCGCGCGCCAGCTCTGCGCCAGGCCAGCCTTGCCTGCCCGGCGCACCTCCGGCAGGAAGTGGGCCAGCGCGGCCAGCAGCTGGCCCCCCTCGGCCGCCGCCGCCCCTGCCAGGAACTGGCTGTTCAAGAAGTCCACCACCGCGAGGTCTAGCTCCCGGATCGTGCTCCACGAGACCCGGCGGCGGGCGCAGTGGTCCGTAGACTTCTGGCACGCCGAGCGGTACAGGGCCTCGGTTGTCTCCTTGATTGCCAGCTGCTCCAGCGGAATGAGCCCCGCGATCGGCTGCCGGCCGACCAGCAATTTACGCGCCAGGCTGGCCCGCGCGCCCGCCCGCCGGCTGCCCCCCGGCGCCCGGGGCGCGCGGCGCGGCATCGGGCGGAGCGCGAGGCCCCCCAAGCCCGGGCGCGGCTGCTGCGCTGGGGGAGGCCTGGGCCCGCGGCAAACGGCCGCCGGAGAACCACCCTCGGAGCCCGCGTGAGTACGGATCGGAAGGGTTGAGCTCTGAGGCGATCCAGCGGGTGTAGAAGCGGGACCCCGAGGCCAGGCTGAGGGCCGCCAACTTCCGAAGAGGCCCTCTGAGATGAAGTGACCGAGCCCGTCCTTTCGCGGCCGCTAAGGCTAAGGGCAAGTTGTCCACCAGGGTCACCAAGCGTTTCCCGAAAGCCTCTGAACTCCGAAGAAGATGCCAGGCAGCTAGAACCAACGCCTCCCCCTCCAAGCCCAGTATGTTCATGTCCTCCGAGATCTGCACGGCTGCGACCCCTGCCCAAGACGACGCCTCCAAAACATCTCTGGGAACTTCGTCGAAGCTGGTCTCCGGGACGTCCAGAACTCCAGTGGCCCCGAGGCGGCGCGTGGAACGGCCGCGCCTCCCGAATGCGATAGGGTAAGATGAGCATCATTTTCTACCCTATCGACCTCGTGTTTTTCCACGTCGGATCGCTCTGGAGGCCTGCCGCCCGCCTCGCCCCCGACCACCTCTCGGAATTCGGCCATGCCGGGCGTTGAGGAACTTGGCAGAGGAGATGATGGGACGACTGCGTGACCGAGCGCTCTTTCACGGGCCCGAGCGCCCCTAGACTCGATACCGCCATCGCTCTGACTGGCGTCCGATCTCCGCGACTCTTGCGGTCGGGAGTCGACGTCTGACAAGGCCGAGCCCGAACTCGGACGCATCAGAGGCCGTCACCTGCGTGTGCCAGGGCGCGAGCACGTCGGCCTGCAGCAGCGGCAGGAGGCACCTCACCTGCCACAACTCGCGCCGCACGGCCTGCCACAGCACGATGGGCTGCGGGCCGGCCTTGGCGGCGAAGGCGCACGCGGCCTGCACCAGGCACAAGGCCTCGCGCCTGAGGAGCGCCGCCCAAGTGATGTGGCCGAGCAGGACCTTCATGAGCGTGCCGCTGCACTTGCCAATGCGGAGCAGCTTCTCAGTGGCCAGCCTCAGGCGCCAGAGGCACTTCGGTCTGGTGGCCAGGAAGCGGCCGTGGGACAAGCTCAGGCCGAGAAACCCCGCGTCTCGACAGGCAGGCACCCGGTCGTGCACCACGAGCCCCAGCTTCTCAAGCTGTCCCCGAACGGCGTCAGCGCCAAGGTTGGTGTCGCCCGCCTCTGCGCCCAGCACGAAAAAGTTGTCCACGTAGCCTGCCGCCACGGGCGGCTGCCCCGGCTGCACCCGTCGCCCGGGCTGACCGTCCTCGATGAGGCCGCTGGGTGGAAAACCGCCCAGGCCGAGGCCCCGGCGAAGCACGCCCTGGCACAGGCGCAGGGCCCACGAGAAGCCCATGGGGAGGACGCGCAAGCAGGGCGCGATGGGCTCCCCGGCCCCCGCCGGCAGCCCAGTCACGCCGCAGCTGAGCAGCAGCCCGGCGTCCAGGGTCGGCAGCGAGAGGTGGTGCACCATGTCGGGCAGCACCAGCACGTGGTAAAAGGCCGCCTCGAGATCCCCGGAGGCAACGAGCACCTCCTGGTCGGCCTCCAGAGAGCCGAAGGCCGAAGGTGTCGGTAAACGAGTGGACGGCGCCGGCAGGAAATCGCCGTTGATGGCTCTCGTGTCGAATATTATCCTGAGACGCTCGCCCTTGCGCCCGACGAAAAACAGTCCGAGGTCTCCACCGCGACCATGCTTCCAAGTCAGCATTCCGCGGCGCCAGGCCTCTCTCAAAAAGGTAGCGTATTCACGAACGTTGCGCTTCAGCAACGGGTCGACGCATGCGCCCCGCGGGCAGGCCTCCGCGCGGAGGCTCCGAGCGGCCCGGGGCGGTCGCAGCATGTGCCCCTTCCAATCCCTGAGCCACGAGGCGTCCACATCGCCCAGCAAGTCTGTCAGAAACACCGTCTTGCTGGTCATGGACGGCCAGGCGATCTCGTCGCCGTCAAAGGGACCGACGGGCCCGCCACCACTAGTGTAGCCGGGCGCGCCTGACAGGAGCGCGCTCAGGGCTCCCTGTCCTGAATCAAGATCTGGAGGAGGTGGTCCAACGCGCCGATAGCTGTGGCGCACGTGTGCCAGGGCCACTCGCTGACCTGCATTGGGGCCGACGCCGGAGCTGGAACCAAAACTGCCATACATGTCATTCAGCGCGTCGATGCCTTCGGCGGCCCACTTATCAGCATGGGCGGCGCGGAGGCGGCGGCGGGCCACACAGCGGCTCGCAGGTACTTGGCAAAACTTGTCGGGCGGCAGCTCCAAAGCGGGCAGCGGGAACAGGTCGCGCTGGCGGCCTTCCCCCATGCCCTCGCAGAGCAGCGGGCCCGGCGGGCAGCAGCAGACACGGCGGGGGGCGCCCAAGTTCCCCGCCGCGGGGCGTTCAGCCCTCTTCTCCCTGCCCTCGTTGGCCCTCCTTGCCAGATTTCTTCTTGGCGTCGGGCTTCGGGAGGGCTCGTTCCTCGCGCGCCTTGCGGCGCTCCTTCGCCAGCGCAGCCTCGCGCGCCAGCTCGGCGGCCACGTAGGACTGCAACTGCGGGCAAACGCAGAGGTTTCCTCGGGAGTGCTGGTTCCCGAGGAAGAGGTGTCGGTCGTAGCTCTCGTCGTCGTTCTCCTCGTTAAGGCGGTGCCGATACCTCTCCTCCTGCACCTGCAATGAGCGGCACACGACCTCATATGAGGCCAAGGAGGCCACATTCAGCTGGTCGTAGCAGACGCCCTCCTGCAGGATGCGGCAGCACTCCTCGTGCTCCACCACCCCCACGTCGGCGTCCGTGAGGCGGAACATCGTCTTGAACAAAGTGTGCCTCCCCAAGGGCGTGCCGCCGTGCCCACAGATGAAGCGGCAGACCCAGAGGCAGGTCCTAGGACCAGTCAGCCTCCAGTCTGGCCAGGGATGCTCTACCAGCCGCAGCACGCCCTCCCTGAACTCAATGTGTCGCTGCCCCAACATGTCGTAACGACTGCCAGCACACGCGGATCGGGAGGCGCCACACCAGTCCCCGGGGCCGCTGGGCCGGGTGCCGGTGGCATCGGCGGCAGCGCTGGGGCCGGCGCCGCGGGCGCAGCTGATGCGGCCGCAGCGGGCGCTGGCACGGCCAGCACTCCTGGGGCGGCTGGCGCTGGAGCAGGCGCCGCGCCGCCGGCAGCGGGCGGCACCAGGGCGCCTGGCACCGCGGGGGCGCCAGGAGGCCCACCCATCGCAGCCACGAGGGCGCCGACTCCACCAGCCACGCCAGCAGCGGCTCCGGCGGGGCCCGCCACCGCGGCACCGGCAGCAGCAGGCGCGCCTGGGTTGGCCAGAGCGTGTACGCCGGCAGCGACGCCCAGCACGTTCCCCGGCGCGAGCTCGAGGTTCAGCATCTGGAGGGCGGGCGGCGGGTACCCAGCAGCAACCGCGCGGCCGATGGCCGCCCAGGCCTCGGCGGCCGTGGGAAGCCGGCGAGACCGATGAACGTGCCCAGCCGCCAGCGCCGCCGGCGTCGCGCCCTGGCCCACGAGTCTGACCACCTCCGCCACATCGGGCCCCGGCGCGTTGCCCTCGTCGTAGTCGTCGAAGTCCGGCGTCAGGATGTACGACAACGCGCCGCGCTCTCCCAACGTGAGCCGCTCGTGCCAGAGCAGCGGCCCCGCCACGCGGTACCTCACCGCGTAGAAAGCCCCCGCCATCAGCGCGAGTGCAGCGGCCGGAGGCGGCTGGCCCGCGCCTGCTCAACGGCGAGCTCCGCGAAGTTCGGCTCCTCGTCCGCCGGGCGCGCCGCGACAGGCGGTTTCTGCTCCAGCCCAAGCGGCAGCTGCCCGCCGCTGGCCTGCGCCGTCGGGGCACCAGCGAAGAGCGCGCGACGGAGCCGATCCACGAGCCGCCCCGCGACGGACAGGACCAGCTTCGCGGCCTCCAAGAAGATCAGCCCCAAGAGCCCGATGCCGAGCTGGACTGACCACGAAGGCCCAGCGTCGCCTGCCTCTGCCTCGGGGCAGGCCGGACACGGGGTACACGGCGAAGGGCAGACCTGCACCTCTCGCGCCTCCACGGCGGCCGAGATGCAGTCGGCAAGCGGCACCAGCAGCGGCGAGGCGCCCACGCCCTCCGCCTCAGCCGGCCCGGCGCCCGCCCCGTCAGCAGACGGGGCTCCCTCGGAAGGGGGCGCGGGCGGCGGGGGCGGCACCCACGGCGCAGCCTGCCACCACCAGCGCGCAACGTTCATGGCGCTGAGGTGTGCGAGAAGAGAAAGTCCGATGCCTCGAGCTTGCATGAGGCGAGGGCGGCTGCGCCCTCAAAGACTTGAGCATACACGTCGACGGATGACGTCGATACGGCGAGCCCTCGAAGGCCTGGCACGTCACTTCAGCTTGTTAAAAGCGGTCAAAGTTCCTGGGGATCGACGTTTACTTGTGTCTGTGATTCTCCCCTCCTGAAAGACATTGGATGTCTGGGTGATGGCCCTGCACACGCCGGCAGAAGAGACGGACACCACCCGCCAGGGACGGTCGTCGTCGTCGTCGTCGTCGTCGTCGTCGTCGTCGTCGTCGTCGTCGTCGTCGTCGTCGTCGTCGTCGTCGTCGTCGTCGTCGTCGTCGTCGTCGTCGTCGTCGTCGTCGTCGTCGTCGTCGTCGTCGTCGTCGTCGGCGTCGGCGTCGGCATCGGCGTTGGCGTCGGCGTCGGCGTCGGCGTCGGCGTCGGCGTCGGCGTCGGCGTCGGCGTCGGCGTCGGCGTCGTCGTCGTCGTCGTCGAAAGAGGCGGAGACCACCCGCTGGGAACAGGATAGCGCGGGGTGGCGGCACCCCGCGGCCGAGGCGTTCTGGATGTCCTCTCGGCGCTCGGCGAGGACGCGGGGTGAGGGCGCGGGAGACCAGGGCGGGGACGGCGAGCCACCCGCGGCCACGGCGGCGGCGGCGGCCACGGCCGCGGCCAGGACTGCAGCGCACTGCTGCACGGGGGGGGGGCGACGGATTGCGGGAGGCGTGCACCTGTCGCGTGCCCCGCCTGGGCCCCAGAGAGCCCCGCTTCGGGCCCCTCTCTGGGGCACAACAGCATCGGCTCGGACGTCCCTTCCCCGTGCGCTGCTCGGCGTCGCGCGCGCCTCTCTCGTAGGCTGATCCTGTGTGCTTTTCGATGGCCCGAGCGATGCCAAGAAAAAGCGCACCGCCCTTCACACCCCGATGTGTCACCCCTCCCCCCCCTGTTAGACAAGCGCGCTCCACTACTCGCAAAGTACTCGCAAATGGCCTGGATTCGCCACGGGGGATTCACGACATATTACATCGAGGCAAGCAATTGTCTTTCGGAAGCTTGCGAGTAGGCACTTTGCGAGCAGTGGAACGCGCTCGGTGAACTGCGCAACGCCCGAACGACGGCGAGATCCGACACGCCGGCGGCGACGAGGACCGCCGCCGCCGCGGCGGCCTCCACGGCGGCGGCGGCCTGCCGGAGCAGTGGCCCTGCCAGCAGCGCGGACCGGCGGCGAGCAGCAGCGAGGGAGCAGCGGGGGGAGCAGCAGGAGGGAGCGGGGAAATGAAGCGGGGGGAGGGGGAGGGAGGAAGGAGGGAGGGGGAGGGGGAGAGCGGGGGGGAGGGGCCGACGAGGAGCGACGGAGAGAAGGGGGGGGGAGGTGAGGCAGGAGGGAAGGGAGGAGGAAAGGAGGAGAAGGAGGCACAGAGTTAGACAGAGAAAACGGAGGGGGGGAGGAGGGAAAGAGTGAAAGGAGGAGGGGGTGAGGGAAGGGAAGCAGGAGGGAGGAGGGAGGGAGGGAAGGAGAGAGAGAGGAGCGTGTTCAACAACAACCACTCCCCACATCAGGCAGCCTGGGCTGCCGACTTGGGGAGGTTGAACCAAAAAGGCCGTTCACGACTGGGAGTCCTGTCCTAGCGGCCCAGGGTCAAGCGGCACGCCACGCTTGGGATGGCTTCCCGTGAAGATACACATACAAGACCACGAGTGAAGGCATCCCTTATGCCCCAGGCCTGTGGCCCGTGGTCCCGTGCATTTCTCACGGAGACCCCTGACCTGGCCGCCAGGTGCAGGAGCAATATCTGGCGCAGATTCTTAGGATGTCTTCAGCGTGGATGGTGACAAATACACAAGCCGATGATCGAGCTCTCTCACACCGTGGCACCCTTACATCGACCAGGTCTCGGGCCACCTGGAGACACGACTAGCAAATCCCAAACCTACCTTCCCAGTGCCGGTCGTGAGGGGGCGGAGGGGGAGGTCTCGGAGCGGAGGTGGGCTTCACCCAGGGGACCGTCGTGAGGTAAGTCCTGAGCCAAAGAGGCACAGCATAGGCATGCAGCCTGCATACAGCTCGAGAGGTTCGCTGAACACGGGTGGGAGGGGGCGAGGGAGGGAGGGAAGGGAGAAGGAGGGGGGGGGGCTAGGAGAGGGAGGCGGAGGGGAAGGTGGAGGGGCTTTAGGCACAACCGCCACCAAGGTAGGCGCTCGCGCTTGAGCTCCGTGGCCGCGCGGGGATCGCCCCGCGCCTTCGCGGGAGGCCGACGACGAGGAGGAAAACAAGCAGAACGACGACCAGGACAAGGACGAGGACCAGGGGAGGAGAGGACAGGAGAGGACAGGAGAGGAGTGAGGAGAGAGGAGAGAGGAGAGAGGAGAGAGGAGAGAGGAGAGGAGGAGAGAGGAGAGGACAAGCTGGGTGCGCTGGCGCCATATCTATCCGACACCTTACCCCTGCCGCCCGCCCCTTCCCGTTGCGCTGTGCTCTCGATGCGCCGACGCGTGTCATAGCAGACCTGGAACTGCAAGCATGACCTCATCGTGTTATGCGCAGTCGGAGAAGAAAAACAAGCAAAAGAAGAAGCTGCACACATTGGAGGGGGAGGTGGCGGATGAGCAGCAGCTTGAGCAGGAGGAGGAGGACGAGGAGGAGGGGGGAGGAGGAGGACGAGGACTAGCAGCAGCAGAAGGAGCTGCAGGGGAAGGAGCGCGGGAGGAGCAGGAGGACCAGGGGAAGGCGGCGAAGGGGAAATGAGGGGAGCGACAACGATGAAAAAGGACTCGGATCCAAAAAAGTGGCCCACGTTCGGGCGAGGGCGCCATTCTGAACGACGGGCACAAAGCGCGCATCCGAAAAGGAGGTCCACGCTCCAACGGGAGCACCATGTTGAAACACTGATAAGAATCGGATGGAAAAAAAACTCAAATTTCGAAATCCTGTGTCAAAAACGATACGCCGGGAGCAGGACAGAGTCAGAGCAGAGAGGATAGTATTATACATGTATTTTAGACGAGGATGAAAAGGAGGAGGTGGAGGAGGAGGAGGAGGAGGAGAAATAGGGAAGGAGAGGAGGAGAAATGGGGGGGAGGGAGGAGGAGGAGGAGGAGGAGGAGGGAGGAGGAGGAGGAGAGAAGAGGAGGGGAGAAAAGAGGCAGGCGGAGGAGGAGAAAGAGGGGAGAGAGCTAGGGAGGACGAGGAAGAGAAGGAGGAGGAGGAGGAGGAGAAGCACGAAAGGAGGAGGAAGGGAGGCGGAAAAGCAGGGGGAGGGAAGAGGAGCACGAAAGGAAAAGGAGAGGAGGAGAGGAGGAGAGGAGGAGGAGGAGGGGGGGAGGCGGACGAGGAGCTCCTCCTCCTCCTCTCCTCCTCCTCCTCCTCCTCCTCCTCCTCCTCCTCTTCCTCCTCCTCCTCCTCCTCCTTCTCATCCTCCTTCTTCCCCTCCCCTTCTCTGCTTTCCCCCTCCCCCTCCTCCCCGACCCCAACGCCTGTCGCACCCTGGCTCAATGGAGGGGTGAGGCTGGTCCAGGAGAGCGAGGATGAGGATGACGAGGAGGAGGAAGAACGACAGGGAGGCGAGGAGGGGCAGGAGGGGGAGGTCTGAAGTTCTGGATGTAGCGACTAGGTCGGGAAACAACCAACTGTAAGCAGGTGATTTCTGTTTCTTGGCCAGCTCAGCTTTGCTGGAAGCCTCAGGCCAAACCCCCGAGAGATCCGACCCAGAATACCTGCAGGTGGTCTGCGGTACTCCTGGGCTGAATGTGCAAGCCGCCCTTTCTCCAAGCCAATCCAGACCGGTTCGTAGTGGGAATCGCGCCAGGTGGGGCCTTGGCCGGTCTTGCTTCGGCGCGTGGGGCGCTGCGCCGCGCTGGGGGGAGGGCCTCTGGTGCGCGTGGTGGGGCAGGGACGAGCTGCTGTCGGCGGGGTGCTGACGGAGCAGCCTAGAGGCTCCGCCCCGCCTTCTGCACGAAGGCCAGAGGGCTCGGGGAGAGCGGGGGAGAAGGAGGAGACGGAGGGAGAGGACAAGGAGAATAGGGGGGGCGCAGAAAAAGAAGGAGGAGGGAGAGGCGAGAGGGAAGAAGAGAGGGAGGGAAGAGGAGGAAGAGGGAATAGAGAGAGAAGGGGGAGAATAAGCGGGGAAGAGGAGGAGGAGAGGGAGGAGAAGGAGAAGGAGGACGAGAAGGAGGAAAGGTCTCCGCCCTCGTCGTCCTCATCGTCGTCGGTCCTCGTCGGTCGTCGGCGGCTGGTCGTCGGTCGTCGGTCCTCGTGCGTGCGTCGGTCATCAGCGGTCGGCCGTCGCCGACTGTCGTCGCTGGTTGCAGTCGCCGCCCCAGTCGCCCGCCGGGGCGCGTCCTCGGTCACGACCCAGACGTGCCGGTGCCCAACGAGGAATCTTCCCAGCTCCGCCGGGGTCGGCTGGTTCGGGCTGTCTTTCGGGATCACCCCGATGAGTTGCCTGCTGCCCCGCCCGCGCGGCCGCCTCCCCCCCCCAAGAAGGTGGATCGAGGACCGAGATTTTGTCGGTTGAGGATGGGGTCGAGTAGGATCGAGGATCGAGGATCAAGGAGAATCTGGGCGTTCTGGGTCCCTTTGGGGCCTCCGGGGCCTCCGAAGGCCTCCAGGGGCCACCTCTGAGAGCCTCTGGAGAACTCTAGGGAGCTCAGGGGCATGCGGGAACCTCATCTCCCTCCCAACTCCTCCTCCTCCTTCTCCTCCTCCTCGTCCTCCTCCTCCTCCTCCTCCTCTTCGTCCTCCTCCTCCTCAGATTTCAGGTTTCAGGTAGTGCCATAGGGTCGGAACGAGGCAGGCCTGAAAGTCGTCGTCCTCCTCCTCCTCCTCCTCCTCCTCCTCCTCCTCCTCCTCCGCCTCCTCCATCCCTTCTCCTTACAAACAATTTGTCCCTGTCGCACCCCGAGACGTGTCGGTAGGGCGAACCTGGCGCTTGGCCTGAGACTTCCTCTCGATGTATGATGATCCTGAAGCTTGAAAGATGCAACAGTTGCACAGACGGAGGGCGGGGTTTTCGGAATGTGGTTCTCGCCTTAGCCCCGCGCACATTCGTCTTAAAAGTTTGCAACAGTTGCACGCGGGCGGCATACCCGAGTACGTCTACGCCGGCGATACCACTATCATTGATGCGTCCGACGCCTACATTTACAATTTCTTGACTGGTGCTGTGACCGCGGGCCGTCGGTACGGCATGGATCTGCATGGACAGAAGTTGCAAGTCTTGCCCCTGAGTTCACAAAACTGTCGCATCATGGCGCAAGCTGTATGCGACAAATTGGGGATGCGATCTGCACGCCCATGCCGCCGTCGAGGAATCGACGTTGTTGTGGGTTTGCAACGCGTGCCTGGTGAAAGCGCAGTCGAGACGCTTAGACACACGTACCATGTACAGTCGCCAGACAAGTGTAAAATTGTCGCACCGATCGTCCGTATCCAAGCAGGGTATTCTGAACACAGCCGGCAACTCCGCTGCCAGCACACATTCATCGCATCTACTGCTCAAACTCGCTCGCCGATAGTGCTTCGATATACTGGTTCGCATCTGGGCCGCTCGTATTGCTTGTGAGCAAGAAGTCCGACGCAACTGCGGTCAATCCGAAAGAGCTTGTGCCCGCAATGCAGAAGCACTGCAGCTGCGCTCTGTGCAGCACTTGGAGCACCGCGGATGCTACTTCTTCGCTCGGGGAGCAGCATGCTCTGTCCTCTCATCGCCTCGTCTACGACGTGAAAACAAATCTTCATCCCAAGAATGAGGAAGGGAGAGGAAAAAGGGAGCGGGGAGAAAGGGGAAAGGGGAGGAGGATCAGGAAAAGGAGATGAGAAAAGAAACGAAAAGAGAAGAGGAGAGGAATGGAGAGGGAGCGGGGAGAGGGGAAGATGAGGGAAGGGAGGGGAGGATGAGATGAGTAAGAAGAGAGAGACAAGTGGACGGGTGGAAGGGAGGTAAGGGGAAGGGGAAACGAGGAGCAGGATAAGGTGAAGGAGGAGAGGAGAGGACGGCTGAAGGAAGAGAAAGAGCAGCCGCAGGGAGAGGAGAAGAGGGCCCTGAGGCCCTGAGGCGTCCTCCTCCTGAGGACGAGGACCAGGACAGCGACGACGACGATGACGAAGAGAAAGACGACAACGACGACGACGACGACGACGACGACCGCGACGACCACAACGACGACGACGACGACCATGACGACGACGACGACGACGACGACGACGACGACGACGACGACGACGGCGACGACATCGACGACGACAACGAAGACGACGACCGCGACGACGCCGAGGGCGACGACAACGAGGAGGACCAGGACGAGGACAACGAGCACGACAAGTGCGAAAGGGGGTCGGTACCACGCCCGATGCGGCCCCCTGCCCCCCCCCCCAGCCGCGCCCGGTGGGGCCCAGGATGTCGGCGAGGTGGCTTAGCGTCTGCAGCGGGCATCCCAGCACAAAGACGCGGCTCCGGGGCCTCGCAGGCGCTTTTGCGTGCGCACAGCGCCCAGCTGACAACGACGACGACGACGACGAGGATGACGACAACGACGACGACGACGACGACGACGACGACGACGACGACGACGACGACGACGACTATGACGACGACGACAACGACGACGACGGCGGCGACGACGAAGAGGACGAGCACGACGACGAGGACGAGGACGATGGCGACGGCGACAAGGACGAGGGCGACATAGGCAACGAGGACGACGACGACGACGACGACGACGACGAGGATGACGACAACGACGACGACGACGCTGACGACGACGAGGACGACAACGCCGACGACGACGACGACGACGACGGCGGCGACGACGAAGACGACGCCGACGACGACGACGACGACGACGACGACGACGACGACGACGGCGGCGACGACGACGACGACGGCGGCGGCGACGACGACGACGACGACGCCGACGACAATGACGTCGACGACGACGACGACGACGACGACGACGACGACGACGACGACGACGACGACGACGACAACGCGCATGCCTCAGCTGAGGAACGCCAGGACAAAAACGACGACTACGATACTAAGGTTTGCTCATCTGGCTGAGCGTGTCTTACACAGTTGCCATTTTCTCGCAGGAAGCCGTGAGCGCTGTCTACGCCGTCCGCACGGTATGATGATAAAGGAAAAAATGAGGAGAGAGGAGAAAAAAAGAGGGGTAAAAAGATCGAGGATCGAGGATTGAAAGATGTTGAACGTGCTCGGCCCTTTGGGGGTCCCAGGGAATCTCTGAAGGCCTCGTGGAAACTCTGGGGATCTCCACGGACCTCTGGATACCCCTAAAGACTTGAGCACAGCAAGTAGGAGGGAGAAAGGAAGAGCAGGTAGAATAAAGAGTCGGGGGGGAAGATGAGGGAGGGGGATCGGATTCGGACTGGCTCCTTCTCCTCCCCTACTCATCCTCCTCCGTATCATCTTGCTTCTCCTAATCCTCATCCTCACGTCCTCTTGATCACCCTCCGTCCGCCTACTCATCCTCCTCCCACCCCTCCTCCTCCTCCTCCTAATCACCCGTCTTCTCCGTCACACCATCATCTTCATACTATCCATCATCGTATGCCCTGCATCGTTTTCATCCCCATCTCCACACTACTCCCATTCCCTTCATCATCTTAGATATCCTTATATGTATGCTTACTCCTGCCAATGATCCTGCACACTCCCTTCCTGTTTGTCCTCGTCCGCCTCCTCGTTCCCCTCCTCTCCATCAGCACTGCTCGCATCATCATCAGCAGCAGCATCATCATCATCAGCATCATCTTCAGCATCATCATCAGCATCATCATCACCATCAGCAGCAGCATCAGCAGCAGCATCACCACCGTCTCCTCCTTCCTAGGTAATATTCATCGTCGTCATCATCATCGTCATTACCATCATCAATATCATCCCTTACCTTGACTGTGTTCCTCCAAGTGTGGCCACTCCCCCCCTCTTGTATGTGGTTTGTGTGTGGTGTGTTGGGTTTGTGTTGGACTGTATTGTATTGTGTTGTGTTGTGTTGTGTTGTGCTGTGTTTAGCCGAATCATGGGTTGGATTGAGTGTGCGTGTGGCTCCGAGCCTGGAGGGTCCGACTGCTCGTGATGTCCAACGACACCCTGCTCTCAGGGGGGCAGGCGGCGCCGCTGTCGAAAGTCTGCGTGTGAGAGCCTTGACTTGGACTTCTCGCCCTGCCGAGTGCCTCTCGGCGAGAAGGCCGAGGGGGCCTGGCTCCGGAACGGCGGAGGGCCCACTCCGACCTGAGTGGGTTCATCATCATCATCTGTGAAGGGGCCCTGGGACGCACAAATAAATAGACACAAATAACAGGATTCCCCATATCTCCCCATATTTTCTGGGTTTTTTTGTCTTCCCCCCCACTTCCCATATTTTCCCATATTTTCTGGGGAATCGACGATCAATTTGTGTCTGTGTTTTTTCCCTCCTGAATCTGGGACAGCAGGCCGGCAAGGAAGCGGGTAGCAGGGCGGCGTGGCAGCACATCGCGGGCTTCGATGGGTTGCCGGGCTTGGGTTTAGACTCGAGCGTTCAAGCCCATAGTGATGGGCGCAGGTGCATCGGTTCGAGCTCGGCAGTTCACGAGTGCGTGCGAGGGACAGCTCATTTTTTGGCAGCGGACAGCACCGCAATACAGCATCTCTCTGAAGCAGTCCTGACAGCACAGCCGGAAACTGTGGAACACGAAGCTGTGAATGACCAAGGCGTGAAACATACGACAAACGAGCCACTCGATGGCACTTGAATGAGATGAACATCGGATACTGGCACTCAAAACAGGAGGGGGGGAGGAAGGAGGGAGAGAAGGCCAGAGGAGGAGGAGGAGGAGGAGGAGGAGGAGGAGGAGGAGGAGGAGGAGGAGCGGGGGGAGAGGGAATTCGCATTGTGTGTGCAGCCTCTGTGATCCCACCGACCACTGATAAGATCAAGCATCACACAGCGACAATCAAAGGGAGCCGTGAGCCGTGTAAATCATGCGGCGACGAATCGCCGGCTATGGGAATGCCGAAGTGGCAATCTCAACGGTCGCAGCCCGAGGGGCTGACCAATGCCAAATATCAACACTCAGCGGTATTGCAGTCACGGACAGGAGGAAGGGAAAGAGGGAAGGGGAGGGAGCAGAGGAGAGCAATACATCAACTGAAAAAACCTGAAGGCGTAACCATGGTGGAGCACCTGGAGAATTATATACCACTTCGGCAGTGCGCATCAGAGATCTAATCCGCCGACCCCTTGGGGATCATCGGCGTGTGAGATGGTCCCCCCCCTTCCCAAACCCCTCCCCCGGGAGCCCGGTCCGGTCGATTTGGAGGGGGGGGGGCCCCCGACGAGCGCACCACGGGCTCTTCCGGGCCCAAGAGGGCTAAAGATGGGCCAAGAAGGCCCCAAGAGGGTTCCAAGACGGCCCACGAGGGCCCCGGGACGCTAAACAAGCGCTCCAAGACGCCCAAGATGACCCCAAGACGGGCCAAGAGGCCTCCAAGACGGCCCCAGAGGTCCCAAACAAGCCTCCCAACAGGGCCCCGAGAGGCTAAAATTGTTGATTTCCCATTTTGTTTTTCAGTTTTTTGCCTTTTCGCCTTTTCGGCTTCCCGACGTTCCAAGACGGCCCAAGAGGCCCCGAAGACAGCCCCAAGACGGCCCAAGAGGCCCCCGAGACGGCCCCAAGACGGCCCAAGATAGCCCCAAGACGGCCCAAGAGGTCCCCAAGACGGCCCAAGAGGGCTCCAAGACGGCACCAAGAGGGCCCCAGAGGGCGACCAAAAATTCTAAACATCTAGCTTTCCGCCCCCAGGAGCCCCAGGGGGCCCCAAGAGTGCCCCAAGAGGCCGCCAGAGGCTCCCAAGAGGCCCCCAAGACGCCCCAAGGAGCCCCCAAGAGGCCCCCAGGAGGCCCCAAAAAGACCCCCAGAAGCTCCGAAACGGCTCCCAAGTGGCTTCAAAACTGCCTTCCAGAGGCCCTCGAGAGGCGTGGCGCGAGATCCCGATACACATACAAGAAGCCTGCAACCCAGAACCATGACCCAGAGCCTCCTCTCTGTGCCCCCCTCCTCATCCTCCCCCTCCTCCTCCACCTCGGCCCCCAAGTGGCTTCAAAACTGCCTTCGAGAGGCCCCCGAGAGGCGTGCCGCGAGATCCCGATACACATACAAGAAGCCTCTAACCCATAACCCATAGCCCAGAGCCTCCTCTCTGTGTCCCCCTCGTCCTCCTCCTCCTCCTCCTCCTCCTCCTCCTCCTCCTCCTCCCCCTCCTCCTCCTCCACCTCCTCCTCGTCCCCCTCCTCCTCTTCCCCCCATCCACCTCATCCTCATCCTCTTCGATTCTTGTCCCCCCCATCCTCCGCCTCACCCCCCATGCTTCTCTCCCCGTCCTCCTTTTCCTCCCCAGCACGCGCGCCCGATTGGTCATCATTTACATGTCTTGCATTTCAGGGTGCCCTTCTTTTCGTCGCGCGCGACATTGGTAGGGTTCACGGAGAACGCCGACTTCGGTAGTCTTCTCTTGCACGGGCCGCTACACTGATACGCCTGGCAACTGCGCGCTGAGAACCCGAGTGTCTTACAGGCTCCGCACACCACTTTGGCTCCTTTTGCCCGTCGATGATCTTCCACTTGCTTCTGCTTCAAATGTTTCGTGTCCGAGAACGCTCTTGCTTGCTGGCGGCGAATGGGGGGGAAATTCGAATCAGCTCCCCCCTTGCGCCACGGGGGGGATCCGGAACCCTCCGTCACCCCAAGCGCAAGTGAAAAGTGCTCTGTCAAAACTCGAGCGCCGCGGCCGTTCCAGAGCGCTCCACGGATCGAGATTGTTGCTGGGCCTGACAAGCCCGAGATGAATCGAATCGTGAAATCGGATCGGATCGGAAACGGATCGGATATCGCCACCGAAGATGCTTCCCCCTCCCCTAGCCCCTCCCCCCGGAGCCCAATCCTGTCGTTTTGGAGGGGGGGGGGTCTGGCCGGCCCCGGGTGAACGCACCACGGGCCTCACGACGGGCCATGAGGGCCCCAAGAGGCCCACAAAATAGTCCAGGAGGGCACCGAGTCGACGATGGATCGTTCCAAGACCCCCAAGATGGCCCCCAGACGGCCCAAGAGGCCTCCGAGACGCCCAAAGAGGCCCCCAAGAGGCGTCCCAAGAGGGCCCCCAGAAGCAAAAACCGTCCCATCCCCTTCAGGAAACGTATGATTTTAGCACATTCGCCACTTGGGCTTTCACAACGTCCAAGGCGGCCCAAGAGCCCTCCAAGATCGCCCCATGACGGCCCAGGAAGCCCCCAAGAAGGCTCCAAGACGGCCCAAGAGGGCCCCAAACCGGCCCAAGAGGTGCCCAAGACGGCTCCAGGAGGGGGCCCAGGCAGGGAACCCGAACGGAAATTGCAAGCCCTCGGCCCCAAGAAGCCTCCAGGAGGCCCCAAGAAGCTCCCAAGAAGCACCCAAGAGGCTCCAAGAGGCCCACCAGAGGCCCAAAAGCGGCCCCAAAACGGCCCCCAAAAGGCCTCAAAGTGCTGCCAGGAGGCCCCCGAGAGACCTACCAGGAGTCCCAAGGGGTCGGCGGTGCGGCGTAAGCCAAAGAATCAAAGGTTGGCAAGCCTGGCGAGTTCCTTAGCGGAAGTTGAAAGAATGCGAGGGACTCCGAGCCGCGAGGAGCGAGAGCCCGAGCACGGACCGCGCGCGACTGCGGCGGCACCCTGAAGAGGGAGCGGCCAACAAACACGGGCAGACCGATGCCACTAGGCGACCCCGCCCCGGCGAGCGGCCAGCAGCGTGCGAATTAACTGCTCAGTCCTCCAGGCAGTGCCGCGTGCCAGATGGACGCCCTGGGAGAGCGCTGCTCCAAGCCCAACGGCCCACCAGACGGGCGACGCTGGGGGCTCCCAGATTCGAAGAAGGACGGGGGGAGGGAGGGAAGGAGCGAGGGGAACCCAGCGCAGAACGGCACTGGAACAGCATCAGCTTTGTTGCCCGCCACGGAGAGCATCTCGAGCCCATTGACACGGGCGATTCGCGCAGGAAAGCCAAAGGGGGCCGCGACGGCCAAGGTCCTTGCGGCCGAGCGGAAGTGGACAAGTCCTGCCTCCCCCCGCCACGAGCACAAGAGCGAGGAGGGGAGGAGGCGAGGGGGGCGAGCGACAGACAGGAGAGGAGACAAAGACAGACGCGACTCACCGCAAGACTTCTGCCGATGTACGAGATCCGTCACGCTGACGTCGCTTACCGAGGAAACTTTGGCAAATACCTGATCAGAAGATTGCCGAACGCATGTAAGGTATTTGGCGCCGACAATTCCATCGTGTGACAAAAAAACACGGCATTCTCGGGTGCAACTCAAGCATCGCGCTCTGGTTGACCTTTCGTGAGATCTGGGCAAGCAAGCAAATCATGAGGAGCAAGGAACTGGCCCCATAGCTGGTCGCGCCGCAAATACCCTGAAATCAGATAGCTGCTTGTGGTTATATTTGTATATATATATGATTATTGTTATTATTTATATTTTTTTTGTTTTTTTTAAACAAAAAAATAATAGTAATAATAATAATTATACGGAGAAAAAAAAAAAAAAAAAAAAAAAAAAAAAAAAAAAAAAAAAAAAAAAAAAAAAAAAAAAAAAAAAAAAAAAAAAAAAAAAAAAAAAAAAACGTGGCGGTAACACCATTCCGCGCAACGACATCATGTCGTTATTTCTGAAGCCCGGAACATCATGGACCGTCGCCATGTAAAATATGTCTCCCTTAGGAACAACGTCTGTTTGTGTCGATTCCTGACGTGGAAAAGCTGCCAGTCAAACATTTCGATTCAATCCTATTTCGCTGCAGTCCAAAGTGGGTGGTCTTACGTACGTGCCAAGTTTCACATTCAGCTCCCGGCTTTGCGAACCTGATTCCACAGTCAACTTGGGATGCTGCAATGTGAACAAAAACAGAGGCGTAGCATTAAGTCGGGCCTGTCCCCCTACAGGGGGATTTTGGGCGAAAAATCAAAAATACATTAAAAAATACTCCAAAATAGTAAAAATGGTGGAAAAATAGTCCACAGACTATTTTTGTACTATTTTTGAATAATCCCCCTGTAGAGGGACAGGCCCGACTTAAGCGTAGCAAAATCTTGGCCACCCGAGCGTTTCGCGATGAGCTTTCACAACTTCGCGCCTGTTTCGTGTGAGAGGAGAGGCTGTCTGGATCAAACGAGCCTGCCCGCAATGCTTCGCATTCTTTCGAGATAAGTGTTGTCGCTCCGGCTGGAAGATTGCACCCTGTCTAACCAGTAGTGGTGCCTTCCCAATAAGAACTGCTGAGCGGCCGGAAACCATAACGCCTATCAGTAATCAATGACAAGACTCATGTTGACCACTAGTTTGTATTTCCAAGCGTCCAATGCCAATCGATCACCATCAAGGCGCAATCCACACTTGACTCTGGTCCCCGCGGGGTAATACACTGCCCACCCGCCTGTCTCATTCACCACGTCGTAGCGCTTAAGGTACTTGTTCATGCAACCAGCGCCACCCACTTCTAGAAAATAAGCCTGGTGCTCAAACACCTCCTGATCGTACCACATGTCTGCGATATTGGACCTGCACACGAGGTGATGCACATGGAGAAGAGGCCACGCGAAACGCTCCGAACCCGTCTTATCGGTAACCACTACGTGCGCCGACTTCAACCAGAAGCCGTCGCCAGGCGCTGGAAAAGAGCTGCCATCGGTGGTCCCTAGAATCATATTCTTGCCATGACCGAGGCTAAAATCAAACTTGACTGTCCACTGCTCGGAGCCAAACCCCCCCCCCGCCCAATTTCTCATTCTGAGTGCACTTGTCGAGATAAAACTGCGATCTCTCTGTGCTGCGGTGCAGCAGCGACTTCGTCGCTAGACAACTGAGAGCTAGCTGGAAGCTGGCAGTGAAGCAGCATCTACAAAGTAGCGCTGAGCTTCGCATGGTGATTTGTCACTCTAAGAGGCACTTGCGCGCTGCAGTTAAAGCCCCCTTGAGCCAAGCGGCCGATCCTTGAGCCAGCGTGCGAGGGACAGCTGGCGCTCTGCAGCGACGGATCATCATCAGCAGCAGCGCATCATCAGCATCAGCATCAGCATCAGCATCAGCATCAGCATCAGCATCAGCATTATCACCATCATCATCATCATCATCATCATCATCATCATCATCATCATCATCATCATCATCATCATCATCATCATCGTTGTCCTAAGCATTATCATCGTCATCAGCAGCAGCATCATCAGCAGCAGCAGCATCAGCAGCAGCAGCAATAACATCATCATCAGCAGCAGCACCAGCATCATCAGCATCATCGGCAGCAGCACCATCGTCATAAGTATCAGAACAATCAGAATCATCATCATCCGGATCATCATCGGCAACAAAAACAATATCAGCATCAACATGGGGATCGAGACCAACATCAACAACATCAACATTAGCGTCAACATCAGCATCAACATCATCGTCATCATCATGAGCATGATCAGCATCATCATCGATATCGTCATCGTCATCGACATCAGCAGCCTCATCATCCGCATCATCCTCGTCGTCGTCGCCATCATCATCGTCATCAGCATCATTATCAGCGTCATCGTTCTCATATTCAATAATCACAACATTAGCACAATCACAATAATTATCAGCAGTATCGTCGTCATCGTCAACGTCATCGTCATCGTCGTCATCATCATAATCATAATCCACAACGGCATCATCATCATCATCATCATCATCATCATCATCATCATCATCATCATCATCATCATCATTCCCATCATCATCATCATCAGCAGCAGCAGCAGCATCATCATCAGTATCATCAACATCCCTTAGCTTGGTTGTGCTCCTGACGTTCCTGCCTCACTCTCATCTTCCTGACTTCCACATTGCAGACCTCCTTATACGAGGAGGGACGGGCAGGAGGGAAGAGGAGGAGGGAAGCGGAGGAGGGAGGAGTGAGGAGAAGGAGGAGGGAGGGGGAGAGGGGGGAGGAAGAAGGAAGGAGGTTGACGGGGAGGCGGGGGCGCGGAGGCGGCTGTGGCAGCCCTCGCCGTCGCAGTCCTCGCCGCCCTTCATCGCCGCCCTCGCCGTCGCCGCCGCGCCGCCGCCGCCGCCGTCGACCTTTAAGTAGGAACGCGGACATGCGACACCACCGCCAGGCACCAGAGAGGGTCCTTCTGGTGGTGTGATCCCCCCCGCTCGCTCGAGGCATCGCCTGCCTCCAGCTCGGGGAGGCATCGTGGACCCCCTCGCTGGGAGTGGCCCTCCTGCTGGTGGTGGTGCCTGTGGCCCTCTCCTGCCTCCGACTTGAAGAGGCTCGGGAAATCGGGAAACGCCTACGAAGACTGGCCTTCGGGCCAGAACTCTGGCCTCTGGCGGCGAATCGGGACGATCTGGGCACCCCTGGAGCGCTCTCGGCAAAGCGCGGCTGGCAGGAGGTATCCCGAAGCGGGAAGCCGCGTGGGGGCCAGCGAATGACGCGCGAGAACGCCCTCATCGCCGCCGTCGTCGCCGCCGCCGTCGCCGTCGATCCGCCCAGGGGGCGAAGCCAAACGCGCGCGCGCGCGGCGCGCGCGCGGCGCGCGCGCGGCGGGCCGGATCGGAAAGTGCACCAGGCGGCAGTGCACGCCGGCGGCGAAGACGCACGTGTGCGGGTTCCACGGGCGAAGTATGGTGTACGAGCCCTGCGGGGGAGAGAGGAGGGGGGGGAGGGGGGAGGAGCGACGGGGGAGGAGACGGACGTCCTCGCGTCGTTTCCCCGCAGCTGTTCGCCAGCTTTTGCGGAAAACTGGAGCTGTTTTCGTACGGGGCCTCCAGGACTCTCAGGCAAGGCACGCGTGCAGACGCGATGCATGGATTTGTTTGTGCTCGTTCCTTCTGCTGGATTGATTTCTTCACTTGCACTTGGCGCAATGGCGGCGCATGTCTTGCGCCTGCTCGGGCAAGACCCGCAGCGCAACGCAAGAAACTCACACTGGCGAACACCCAATCGTTTGCTCCAGCAAAACACGCAAAGGCAGCGCATCGTTTCGGGCCCTCTTGGGGCAAATTCGTAGATAGGGCTTGCCAATCGCTTCCAAACCTTGGAAATTCGACCTCGCAAGCCTACGCCTGGTGCCCCCTTCTCGGAATTCTCTCGGAGTCCTCCATTGGCCATCACGGGACCATCCTGGAGCCTCTTGAAGCCCTCTTGGGGCGTAAGGCTTATGGTTTGGGCATCGACCTTGGGGGCCATGCCACTCTTTAACAATGCGCATCGGGCCCCTCCTGAGGCTTTAGCGGCCCTCATCGAGCTCCGCTCGAGGCCACGTGGAACGTTCTTCGGGGTAGGAGCGAGAGCGCGGCTCCGAACCTTGGGAAACGTGCTTTGCACACTGCATATTATACACTCCTGCTGGGGATCTGTCGCGGCCTTGTCCGAGCCCCTTCGCGGAGCCCTGGCGAGGGCGGGGTGTGAAGCATGGCACCCATAGCTGGGGAAGCAGATCTTGAAGCGTTGGCCCTTTTCTGGGGTCCTATCCGGGCTTTAAGCCCTTACGAACATCAATATATAACTACATGCACACATACAATCATACATACATACATACATACCTACCTACCTACCTACCTACCTACCTACATACATACATACATACATACATGCCTACATGCATACATACATACATACATACATACGTACGTACGTACATACATACATACATACATACATACATACATACATACATACCTACATACATGCATACATACATACCTACATACATACATACATACATATACACACATAGATGTATACACCGTCATCGATATATATATATATAGCTGTACCCATACGTGTACACATACATATATGCATGTGTGTATGCATATACATATACATATAGATATGCATTGATAATTGCATAGACATGTGCATACGCATAAGCATCTGAATATAAATATAAACATCTATATGCATCTACACAGACCTAAACCTACGCATGTGCACATACACATACGCGTAACTATGAATATGGATACGCATATTGAAATACGTATGCACACACCTATGCATGCACGTATATATACATGAACAGATACGTAAACGCATACGTAAACATAGACGTGCATATAGACATAGACATATACATATACGAATATACGTACATAGACATAGACATTTATAGTTACATATATGTACGCATATGTAAAAGTATACAAATTCATATGTGCATACAACTGTATAAACATATACAGGTTTGCACGTGTATATTCGACATGTGCATAAACATACGCACGTACGTATACATGTGCATGTACATGTATATATACAGATACACATATGCATATGCATACGAAATACATAATACATATGTATGTACATATACATGTGAATGGGCATGCACCTATGCATACGCGTGCACATATACATATATGGTCACCCCCACACACACACACACACACACACACACACACACACCACCCCCACCCCCCACCCCAGCACACCGTGATGCCATATCCCTTCTCCTCTTCCTCGGTTTCTCCTCCTCCTCCTCATCCTCCTTCCTCCTCCTCCTCCTCCTCCTCCTCCTCCTCCTCCCTCCTCTTCCTCCTCCTCCTCCTCCAGGACTGCCACGAAACCCTGCTATTTACATGTCTTTGGTTGCCTGGGTCGGTGATGCCACCAAACGCTGCTATTCACTGATTCGGTGGGCTTTTTATCTTTTCACCTGATGTGCAAACTTTCCCTGGAGGCTTGCGGACGCCTGATTTTTTATATCAAAAACTATGAATAGAAGTGTTCGGTGACCTTGGGGGGCACGAAACCATGGTATTCACAGGTTTGTTTTGTGTGTATTGGAAACCAAAACCAAAAAAAACTGTGAATAGCAATGTTTGGTGGCCTTGGGGGGGGCACGAAACCATGGTATTCACAGGTTTGTCTTGTTTTTCTGCGTCGGGGAACTTCCTGGCGACGCTTGCAATTCCTTAGAAAAACAAACAACGACAAAAACACAAACAACAATTATGAGTAGCAGCGCTGAGTGGCATGACCGACCAAAAAGACCAACACAAACCTGTGAATAGCATGGTTTCGTGGCCATGCTGCTGCCATTGCTGTTGTTGCTGCTGCTCCTCCTCCTCCTCCTTCTCCTCCTCCTCCTCTAGTTCCTCTTCCTCCTTCTCTTTCTCCTCCTCCTCCTCCGCCTCATCTTCCTCCTCCTCCTCCTCCTCCTCCGCCTCCTCCTCCTCCTCCTCCTCCTCCGCCTCCTCCTCCTCCTGTGTTTCTCCGCCTTCTCCTCCGCCTCCTCTTTCCATTCCTCCTCCCCCTCCTCCTCCTCCTCCTCCTCCTCCTCCTCCTCCTCCTCCTCCTCCTCCTCCTCCTCCTCCTCCCCTTCCTCCTCCTCCTCAGTTTCCTCCTCTTCCACTTCTGTTTCCTACTCCCGTGCGTCGCCTCTTCCTCCTCCTCCTCCGCCTGGTCTCCCCCCTCCTCTTCCTCACCTTCCTCCTCCTCCTTCTCCTCCTTTTCCCCCTGCTTCTCCTGCTCCTGCTCCTCCGCCTCTTCCTCCTCCTCGTCCTCGTCCTCCTCTTCATCCTCCTTCTCCCCTTCATCCTCCTCACCCTCTCCTCTTCCTTCTCGTCCTCCTCCTCCTCCTCCCCCTCCTCCTCCTCCTCCTCCTCCCCCTCTTCATCCTCCTCCCCTTCCCCCCTGACCAACCTACGAAGCAACCGTTCGCAGACCGTCTTGCTCTTGATGGCCGAGGGCGCAACCTATGACGCGACCAATAGGAGACGGTTGTATTCTCAGCCGTTGAAGGTGCAATATACGGTGCAACCGATCGGAGACTGGTGTACCCTCGGCCGCCGAGGGCACAACCGTTACCATGCCACTAGCCCAACATACATTTCGCTACGCGGACGGCATCCGCATGAAGAGTGCTCGCGTGGCATACACATGGTCTAGTAATAGCACGCCGGCCCAGCCGAAATTAGATGCATGTGTAAAGGCGGGCCCTACGTCTGATCAGTCGCACCCCGCTCAACAAGCCGTCGCCACTGGAGCAGTCAGCCTGGTCACCTGGCTGCCCCTGCGCGCAGAGCTCCAAGTGGGCTCCGTCAAGCCAGTACAACATCGGATTGATCACTCGCTGTCGGGGTGGGGTGCTGGGTGGTCTCCTTGTTTCTCCTCCTCCTCCTCCGCATGTTCTTTTTCTGCCTCCTTCGCCAACAAGGCTTGCGAAAGGAGCTTGGTCAACAACCCACGCTGAAAAACGAGCAGGGTGAGGAGGAGGATGAGGATGAGGACGATGAGAGAAAGCAGGGTGAGAGGTAGGAGGACAAGGAGGAGGAGGAGGAGGAGGAGGAGGAGGAGGAGAAGGACGAAGAAGAGGAAGAGGAAAGAAAGCTGAGTGAGGGGTAGGAGGATGAGGCGGAGGAGGAGGACGACGACGAGGAAGAGGAAATAATAAAGCTGAGTAAGGGGTAGGAGGATGAGGAGGAGGAGGACAACGAGGAAGAGGTGATGAAGCACGGTGGGGGCAGGAGGAGGAGGAGGAGGAGGGCGAGGAGGGGGAGGAGAAGGAGGATCATCGGAGTGATCGCTTGCTGGAAGACGGGGTGCTGGGGGGGACTGAGGACATACATATATATATACACACATACATATACATATACATGTACATGCACAGATGCATACATATTGCACATGTACAAATACCTCTACACATATGCATGCATATGCACGTACAGGTACATACATCTAGTCATAGACAGATACATATGCATTCACATAATCATCTATGTGAACAAATACATATACATTTACATAGAGCTATTCGCATGCATGTACGTGTATATGCATATGCATGTACGCAAACATATACATATATATATATATATACACGTTTGCATATCTACAAATACATGCATACAAGCCGATGTGTAATTATGTATATACGTAAATACACTTGTAGTCTCAATGTCGCCTCAATGTTTCGAGTCCAGGTCGACGAATGTTAACAAGGAACCGCCCACCATCCGTGCAACCGTTGAATCAGTGTGAGACGACCGTGCGCGGCGCTAAGGAGGAGGGCTACATTTGCAAGCCATACCCGCAACGTTTGAGACCTTTGAAAACGAATGTGCGCGGCGCTGAGGCGAGAGACACATGTTGGAAAACACCAATTCCATTCGTGGGACTGTTGGAAATCTGGCAACCTGGTCATCAACGAGGCGAAACGAAGTCTCGGGCGCAACGCCCAGCCCGCCCCAACGACGCGTGTGGTGGTCAGACGAGGAAGAACGATCGATTTGGAAGGGATTGAGGACGGGGACGGAGGGAGGAGCAGGAGGGAGGAGGGAGGAAGATGGTTTGAGGATCGAAGACGGGGGCTGTTTTGGGACGACGTCTGGCCCTCGCGGGCCTCCGAGCGGCCTGCCTGACCCCACGCGCTGAGGAGCCTGCCCGAGCCTGAAAAGCGTGCCACGAGCCTTCTGCACAGGCTCGCATCTCGAATTCCCTCTGAATTATTACAGTCGGACTTGATTGGACAGCACACGCGGAGAGGACACAAGACCCTTCCGAGGGCCACATTGACACAGGAAAGTAGGAGGCATGGGCCGCGAGAAACAGGACACGAGGGTACCCTTGCTTTGGTAGGGTCGAACTCCAAATCCAGGCAGACCGAAGTGGATACCCCCCGCGGCCTTCTCGCCTTCGCCCCATGCGAGACGCTCCAGGATGAGGGACAAGGGGGGGAACTGGCATAGGGGGGATGCTTCGACCTGGAATCGGCGATATATCGCCGACGGATCGGCGACAGGCTCCCGTTAGTGAGTCCGCAGCTTCCTGGGCGGGTTAGGGTTGTCGGGCCCCTATCGGCGATCGATGGGCGATTAAGCGTCGATGCATCCCCCCTGTGCCCGCCCTCCCTCATCGTTGCCCCCGACAGGAGGGGGCTTCGCCTTCGGCGCGTCTCGCCCTCGGCGGAAGCCAGCGACGGTCATCCTCCTCCTCCTCCTCCTCCTCCTCCTCCTCCTCCTCCTCCTCCTCCTCCTCCTCCTCCTCCTCCCTCCTCTTCTTCCTCCTCCTCCTCCTCCTCCTCCTCCTCCTCCTCCTCCCTCCTCTTCTTCCTCCTCTCCTCCTCCTCCTCCTCCTCCTCCTCCTCCTCCTCCTCCTCCCTCCTCCTCCTCCTCCTCCTCCTCCTCCTCCTCCTCCTCCTCCTCCTCCTCCTCCTCCCGACGGAGGCCGAAGCTGAGGCGCTCGGCGGGAACCCTGGCGGAAGCAGAAGCGGGATGTCGAAACGCTTTGGTCGAGGGGTTGGAGACGGCGCGAGAATCGGACCTCGCCTCCGCGCTGCACGAGACGCTCCAGGAAGGGGGCTTCGCCCTCGGCGCGCCTCGCCCTCTGCGGGCAGCCAGCGAGGGCAAAAACAGAGAGAGCGGGTCCTCCGGAGGCCGGCTGTGGCTCGGCGGGGGCCTGGCGGAAACAGAAGCGCGATGTCGAAACGTTTGGATCAAGGGGTTCGGCACGGCGCGGGGGTCGGACCAGGTGGAGGCGTGGTGGGGGGCGAGGTGGAGACGTGGTGGGAGGTCAGGGCCCGTTCCAGGCTAGGAACTGTCGGGTGGGGGGGCCTCAGAACAGCCCCCAGGACGGTGCGGAGGTCGGACCAGGTGGAGGCGTGGGGGGGGAGGGCCGCCCTTGGTTTCAATCCGACGGCTGCTACTGTCTGCCGACGGAGGGAGAGAACGACGGGCAATCAGAGAAGCGAGCATCGCCTGGTAGCACAGCGCAATCGGCCCATAATCGGCATTCAGCTCCTGCCGCAGGCGCGCGAGGGAGCCTACCCCTGGCAAGAGTAATGCCACTCCTCCTCCCTCGTCCTCCGCCTCCATCCTCCATCCTCCATCCTCCATCCTCCATCCTCCTCCTCCTCCTCCTCCTCCTCCTCCTCCTCCTCCTCCTCCTCCTCCTCCTCCTCCTCCTACTCCTACTCCTACTCCTACTCCTACTCCTACTCCTACTCCTACTCCTACTCC